TGGCAGACTAGGGATTTAAACATGAGTCTCCCAGATCCTTGTGCAACAGTCTAGCACCTATAAAAAATGTCTCTTTTCCCCCCAGGAACTCATCTTGCTCTCAGTTGGCAGCTGCACAGGAACTGAAAGGAGGTAATGAGTGTGGCTTATATATATTGTAACCTTCCAGGCCTGCACTACCTGAGAAGGCAAAATACCTTGAGCTGGGCCTCTATACTTCCTACAAACAAAATGTTGCTAGTTCTTCCCTAGGTTAAGTTCTTCTCGCATTAAAATGTCTGTCAATGGGGTTCTATAACTGTCCTTACCAGCAACATCTACTCCCCTTTTCCTCTCCCTCATCCCCTTTATGTTTAACATTCAGTGTGAAGAGCACTTTTTTAAATCCGAAAGGTAGCTCACTACTTCAGGACTTTTAGTTGGTCCAAATAAAAATACCATTGTGGCTGCTATTTGGAATTTGTCTAAATGGATCAACATGGCTGTCTGCATCTTTTGTTTGTTTAATGAAAGTTTAAGTTTCAGAGAATGGGCCTGGAGTGTCCCTGGCAAGTGAATCAAAGATCTATTTACAACCCTGATGCCAACACCAAGTGGACCTCAATAAAAAGTGAAGAAATGCTTCTTTTGTGTCTCCTGAGAGGTTGGCAATAGGCAAAGCTCCACTTTTGTATTTTAGCAGTCTTCCCCCCCCCCCCTTTCTGAGCAGAAACCAGGCTGGGAAGGAGCAAGTCAGTGCAATTGCTTTTCAGCTTATTTATTTATTTATTTATTTATTTATATTTAAATTTATACCCCGCCCTACCCCGAAGCTTACTTTCATACAAATGCTAATAGTTCTAGCTAGCGACAATGGGATGGCCAAGCTTCCCCCCTTCTCCCCCCTTCAAGCAGGGAACAGAGTTTTGGGTGAGTAGACTGCTAGATAGTCTATAGGAAGAAGATTCCTGGAGATTTCCAGGAAGCGTTCCTTTGATTTGGCGTGACATGTTCAGTGGGAGGGGAAACAGAGATGATAAAAACTTCTTGCAACAGGAAGGGGCTCTTTTTTCCTGGGGTGCAGCATCCATGAGAAGACAAAGACCTCTCTCCACTGGGGAGGGAGCCACTGACCATGTACTCGCTCAGAGAGCAAGCTTCAAGGTAATGGTAACTCTGTAGAAACTTGTAATGCCTTAAAGCTAAAGAGCCTGTCCTATATTTTAACATCTGGATTGGGCACATATAGTGAGAGGGAGAGAGGATTGGGTTTTTACCAATTTCTTTTGTATCCCTTGCTCGAATCTGTTGCTATGCTAAAAGTATGCTTATGAACATTTCTTTCTAAAAAAATACTTTATAACTTTTAATGCTGGTAATGGTTCTCTTTACCACATAGATCACCACCATCTCAGATATGCTATTTTCTAAAGAGCGCCAGGGGGAAGGCAGGCAGTTGGCAAGTGGCTATTCTTCCTGGGGTGTGCAATGCAGTAAACTGTCCCCATGGTGTCCAGGCACTGGGCAGTGGGAGACACAGAGGCAAGGCCTCAGAACTCAGAAGGGAAGCCAGGAGTTCTGACCCTCCCAGTGGGTAATTACGCCAAATGGTCAGGGGGTGGTGGTGGGCTACTGGAGAGAAAGAAAAGCCTCTCTGTGCTGAGAAAAATCTTGGAAAGCAGGGTGGAACAGGACCCACAGGCCAGAGCAGACACATTCTGCCACATACAACATTAGACTTCAATATACAAGTGAAGCTATCTTAGACTGGAAGAAGCTCATGCAGAGGTCTCTCCCAGCCCTCCTACTCTTTAGGAGTTTACAGTTGACAGATGGAGAATTCTTCAGGCAATTACCTTGATTAAAAAAACACACCTTTGAGGTAACACCTAGGGCAAAAAATTCTTGAAATTAAACATGTTCTTGGAAGTAATCTAGTGTAGGGACTGTGGGACCCAGGGCCCAAGTGAGAATTGCAGATCCAAGAAGCTTTTGTGCACTTCTATGCTATTTAATAATTCACAAGCATTTATTTTGTGTACCAAAAAACCCCTCTGTTGAAAGTTGTAGAATCGTTACCTGATAAACAACAGTTACAATGAGGGAAGAATTCTTCATATAATCACAGAAAATTCTTAACAAAATTATAGGTATTAGTATGACTCAAGTAGGTGAACAGTTATTTATGGAATGCTACAGGTTTTAACTGAATGCCAGTAAAATGATGGGTTGTTAATCAAAATGCACTAGAACAATGGAAATTATCTGATACATTTCTCTGCTGATGTCTCAACACAGTGCATTGGCTGTCATCAGCCTTACAATGGAGCCTAATAATAACTAGGTTGAAAAATTAAAAGGATAATTAATTACATTTTCAGTACTTGAGTGTTAGGTATCTATAACTAGCAAAAGTTCACAAGCCCTGAGCCTGCGTGCGGGGAGGGCGGGATATAAATGGAATGAAATAAATAAATAATAAACTAACAATGCAATCCTATGCAGAGTTACTCAACTGACTAGGGTCAGCTGTAAGTGATCAGCATCTGTCAAGCAATCGTTAGAAAAAATATATATAGGCTTCAAATGTGATTGAAGCAGAAAAATTAAATGGCCCCTGTTTTACTTCACCTTAAAAGATGATGTTTTAAGTATGGACTTTGGATTGGTGAAACATCATGGATAAAATAAATACTAGGGGTGTGCAAAAAAAAAAGGTTTTATTCGGGTTTGTTATATTGGATCTGAAAAAATATTGGTATATCCTGATTCCTAATACTGGTACAGTATTCAGATTTGGGATTTTTAGGAAATCCCTTTTTTTCCTTCAATGGTCCCCGCAGAATATAATGAGGAATCTATCTGGGGCATCCAGGGGTCAGTTTCTCCTCAGAGGAACCCTCAAGTTTTAAAAAGATTGGACTGGGGGCCCAATTCTACAGGCCCTCAAAGAAGGTGCACCATTTGCCATTGTTTCCAATGGAGAAGGAAAAGGTGTTTAAAGGGCTCATGGTCCCTTTAAATGTCTTCTGCAAGCTGTACGTTATCACCAGGGGCATTTAAAGTGACTGAGAGCCCTTTAAATGCCATTTAACTGTGGCTATACAGCATTCCCGGACAATCCCAACAATTTTCTGGATATTTCAGGAATGACCATATTGGATAGCCAAAATAGACTCTGATCTGTATCCAGATGAGGACCCCCCCCCCAGCTTGGATTCAGCCAAATGCACATTCACAATAAATACCTCCTCCTCTATTACCATGGTTGAAATCAAGCACAGAGCTTTCTACATAGCTTTTTTAAAAAGTTGAACGATCCAATGGAGGGTTTTTAATGTTATATTCTGGTCTAACACTGGGTCATGGCCTGTTTTAAATATAAATTTGCTGTGCTGTGATCGCTACAAAGCCTCATGGACACAACCTCCAAATGGAGCAATTTAAAGCAGCAGATGCTGCTGAAGTTCTCTCAAGCTACTTATAACAACATTTCTATAAGATTACTTTATGCTACTGATATGGATCTTTCAGAACTATGCTTTAACATAATGACAGGTTTTCACATCACCTTTTAGACAAACACAGAAAACAGTATTCTATTATAGCTCTTCACTATAATTGTTGTTGTCAAAAATTCTCATTGAAACTTGATCATTTTGTTTATCTACTGATTCTGCCATCTGCCACCAAGCAAACACTGACTTTTTGACTGTTGCTAATGCAACTTTCTCGTTAACTTCAGTTTCTGAGCAGCAGCATCAATGAAGTTGGCTCCAGTTACAGAGCAGGTTTTGATAGACATCCCATGTCCCCAGAGGACAATGAATCATTTTACACAGTGCACAGACTGGTTCCTCAGGAAATCCTTTTATTTAAATAGTTTACTTACAATCTAGAGGGATTTGGTATGATTTCGGTATATGAACTGACTTTAAAAGGTTACTCCTATTAATAATAGAATACCTTTTTATGGATTAAAGAGGGAGGAATAGTTCAACGTTAAAGAAAAAAAGATGACTTATTTAAAAGTAAAACATAAACAGATTTTCATTCAAGAATGCAGTCATGTACACAAATATAAAACTTAAAAAGTTTAAAGCAAAACCTATAATTGAAAACAAAACATTCAACTGAAACATGAACTACACAGATATTAAGTCTTAATTGCTGAAGGCACTTCTGGAAGTACTGGGGACCATGCCTTGATGGCTAATCCATGGGGAAGCCACTGCTGTGGCTTTTCCTGTGTGTCCTTATTATTTGAATTTAGAGCATGGAGGATATACTCATAAGGGCACATAGATGTGATGGAAAAACAGAGAGAAGGAAGTGCTTAAAGTATGTATCTCCTGATCCATTCTAACCTAGTGATACTGTCACTTCTACTGCATATAATAAGTAGGGTTGCCAGCTTCCACTTGGAACCTGGAGATCTTCTGGAATTACAACTGATCTCCAGGCTACAGAGACCTATTCTCTTGGAGAAAATAGCTGCTTTGGAGGGTGGACTCTATGACATTATACCCTGCTGAGATCCCCCTTCTCCTAAGCCTGCCCTCCCCAGACTCTACCCCAGATTTCTAGGAATTTCCCAACCAGGAGTTGGCAACTCTAAAATAAGATGTTCATTGATGAGAATTAAGCCGTCGTGAGATTAGATATAGGAACAAAAAGAATATTTGTTCCTGTTTTACATTATTGTCTTGAGGCAGTAGATACAAATGTTACATAAGAGACCAGAGACCTGGACAAGATGTTATTACAGCGCATCCTCAATAAAACCAAGCATTTGCATTTATGATGGACAGAGGGAATTGATTTAATCATGATGGCATGATTTAATGTGGCAGCCTGGGCATCTGGTAGGCATGATTCAGGCATTGTGAGTTATATATAAACTCCAGTAATCTCAAAGGTGTTTTTCTGCACTTCATTACCACGTAGGTCTGCTTTATTTGTCTGTTTTCCAAAAGGCAAGAAGTTTAGCTTCTAGAACTGGTGCCATTTATATTACTCACCTCCAGAATGTGGTGGTGGTCCGCATAGCAACACCATTCCTTGCCCTTGCCGGACTGATACTGTGCTTCTTGTTCTGGTTTTGAAATTTTCAATATCTGTTAAGAATATATAGACAAATGAATAAATAAATACACAAATACATGCATGGCTAGCATTCCATTTCCAAATGGGGAAGAGGACAGTATTTTAGGAATGCACACACACACACCTTTCCTTTGAGGAAGATGCATACAAATGCAAAAGACGTCTGTGTGGGAAGAGACTGCTTGCCTACAAGAAAAGGTTATTAGATCCACAGAAAAAGTTCAAATATTAGCATTATAAAATTCTATGTTGGTGAAACAGCTGTTCAGTCTTTTGCTGCAGAAGACACACCACAGGGAAATCAATAATTCAGGATGGTTACAATAGAACATCACATCACTCTTCACAGGCAGCATATTGATGCCCAGTTAATCTTAAACTGCAGAGGACACCTGCACTTTTGAAAGAAGCAGATAGTCAGCAGCAGAGCCACAACAAGACAAACATGATTTTGTGCAAAGTTAGTGTTTAGTTTGATGCAAGCACACAGGCTCAGAAAGGGTTGTTTGGGAATACTGCTTGTTGGATTACCCCTAATGGCCCTGATCCAGTGAAATGCATATGTAGAAACTCATGCAGCCCCCCTTCCATTCAAAATCCTTACCAGGAGGGGACCAACATACCTGAGGGACCAGCACAATTGGCATGCCCCCCAAGAGCTTTACACTCATGTGATCAAAATTTACTAGCAGTCCATGGCCCCAAAGAAGTTCTGCTGTCCTCAACCAGGGCCAGGGCCTTTTCGGCCTGGTAGAACTCCCTACCTAGTAACATCCACGCTCTGCGGGACCTTGCTCAGTTCCGCAGGGCATGCAAAGTTGAGATGTTCCACCAGGCCTACAGTTAAGGACAGCAGCGGTTCCTGACCCTGACCTCTATCTGCCTTATCAACCTCCCTGTAGGAGACCCACTCCATGGGTGAGCAAAGTGATTGGTATGCCATCAACTGGGTGCTGTAGTTTGCATTGTATATTGTTTTATTGCTTAATGATTACTAATTTGATTCTCTGTTTTAATTGTTTATTATGTTTACTATGATGTATACTGCTCTGAGCTCTTTGGGGAAGGGTGGTCTATAAAATTAAATAAATATTAATAATCATTATAATTATTAGACACAGAAAAGATTTGCACAGACATCTGTGCAGACTTCTTTCAAGAAATGTACCTAATCATAGACAGCAACATGAATGTAACAGAATACTACCAGATGCTCACTTTGCTTTATCTATACACTAAAAGTGATCTGTGTTCCCCATCTAAACCAACTCTAAACAGATTTTTCTTCAACCTTGGGGGACTCCCCAAGTGTGGCCTGGAGCTGCACCAGGCTTGGCGGTGGGAGTGGGGGATATGGGATGTAAGGAGAAAATCAGGTGTGGGGAACTGGCAGCAATGGGTTGTTGTTTTTTTTGCCCCCCATGAGTATCATGGGCCCTCACTTGTTTACTCTAAATTGTACATCCTGTTTCTCGGAATCCCAGTCCATCAGCTGGCTCTCCAATTAATATAATTAAAGAAGCTTGGAGTAAACAGTTACCGTAAGTACTGTAGACTATACTACTGTACATTGTACCACCTGTTGATGTAAGTAGGTTCCTGATATGTAATTTTTGTTTTTGTTTAACTTGTCATGTTAATACTTATGCAGCACTTCACCTCCAGTTGGTTTCCAGATCTCTACAAATCAAATCCTATCACACTGTCTATTGAATATCTCATTCTGTTGATCAGATTGATTTATTCTTCGTAATCCACTTTGAGTCCCAGTGAGAAAGGCAGACTATACAAAACATAAATAAATAAATAACAGGATGGCACTGGAGGAGGACACAAAATTAGATGAAATATAAGCAATGGGTGAGAGATTACTGGGTGCTTGTGTGTATTTAACAAACCCAAAATGGTCTACTGGGGGGGGGGGATGACAACAAAAACAAAGTTGTACTGTTCTTTTCCCAGAACTCATACTCCCCAAATCTCACATGTTCAGTTCAGTGCAGGAGAGTGAAACTAATACATGAAAAAGTTCTTGGCTACCTCACATAGTAGTTTTTATCAGTACCCCAAACCAAAGACACAAGAGTCCACTATGCAGGTTATCTACATCAATTTAACATCCCTGAATTAATGATAGTTGCTACTAAGAAGCAGTGTACTATAGCTATCAGGATTTTGAGCAAATCCACCCTTACTCCAGTTTTACTACTTCACCTATATGTAAAATAATGCTGCTCCTGCAACTAAGGCATCAGTTCATGTTGCTCAACCACCAAAGGTGTTCCTTCCCCAACCCACCAGGCTGCTCAAGCCAATGATAGGATTGCTTGGGAATAGGGGGTCCCCCATCTTGGGGTGCTTGCCAATCATCCCCAGGTCTAATTAGAGAATATCATCACTCCTCAGAACACTGTGGAGTAAGTAGGAAAAGGTATTCTCCCAAGCCAATGTGCAGGAAGTTAAAAAATAAAATAATAAAAAAAACACCAAATCCTGTTCAGGTCTCCAAAAGGTGACCAGCTAATCCCACATAATTGTTGAAGATGGTGTGGGCCAATTCACAGTAAAAATCTTCTGCAGAGAACAGGGAAAAGCTCAAATTCCTTCTGATTGGCTGTTCCACACTGGGTGGCAAATGGCTTAACAAGAGCCAATGGTGCTCTTATGCCTTATTTAAAAATGGGACTTGCACAAAGAAGTACCCCAGCCCTATAGGCTTGGGACTAAATTCTCTCAACATAAGCTTGCTTAAAATATGGGAAGAACTGATAGCTCCATCTTTGTCAGTAAGATATGGGTATTACTCTTGCTTAACATTCCATTCATTAACAACAAAGTGAGAGGTTTCAGGTGTAAGAAGAAAAAACTGCAACACGGCAAATTCTATCCTCTCCTTACCCTTTCCAGAACCAGGCATTCTGAAATATCTCTTTTCCTGCTCCTCTGCCTTGTACATGACACTTAAAAAGCTCATTAATTGCCAAGGTTACTATTGGTGACCCAGCCAATGGCACCAGTTATTGATCAGCAACTTCAGCTGCCAGGGGAATTCAGTGCAAAAACTCCAGCAGCACTGAATCACCTCAGTGGCCTTTTATGTTAGGTAGTTACTTTCCTTTTAAGTTTCCAGGTTGTTGTTATTTTTTGAGAAACTAAACCTTTTATTTGCTATTCTCAAAATTGTTGTTCAGCACATTAGAGAGTATGGGAGATAAATATATCGAACAGCTGCAAAATAATTATACTGTTATAAAGGTGAGAAATTAGTCTTTGATTTTTATCCCCCTTTGATTTTTTCTCTCTCTCTTAATAAGTTAAGAACATAGATGCACTGACAATATTTCTTGGCCTTATAAAAGAATCTATTTTTCTGAGTTAAATCAAGCTGATCTTTCAGAGACAGAATAATAATAATAATAATAATAATAATAATAATAATAATAATAATAATTGTTTAGTCATGATTTTTAAAGAATTGGTTAGTGATATAATGGCTTATAGATAAGGCCAACTGACTTTTCATGTTATCAAATAAAAGAAATCAACTGAGATCCATAAAACATTTTTGCTAATAAACAACTATTTATCCGTGTTCTGTTGTAGCAGAAGATGGTTGGAATTAGAGGTGTGCACACAAAACCCCCAGTATTTTTCAGGTTTGGGTATACTGAACTTGGAAAATATTGCTACTACTGATTTTTTCTGGCTCCATTATACACTATGGAGACCATTATAGTCAATGGTCCCATAGGCTATAATGGAGAATCAATCTGGGGGTATCTGCGGCTGGGGGGTGTTTTTTGAAATAGAGGTGCAGCGTAGTTGCTAATGACTCTCCTAAAAAAACACATTTCAAAAAGATCAGTCTGGGGGTCCAATTATATAGGCCCCAGAAGACAATGGAGGAAAGAAAAAGGGGAGGTCTCTCACCATCGCATGCAGACCTGGATGGGAGGTTCCTCCTGCCCCACGGCTTAAACCATGGGCTAGGAGAAGCTGGTCCCAGGATCTGCATGTGGCAGGAAGGTCACTCCCCGCTGCCAAGGCAGCATGGAGCTCTCAGCTCCTGCTGGCCCAGCTGATTCCCTCCTTGGTATAGCTTACCTGAATAAAAGCCAAAAAAATCAGCTTTTATTTGTGCTCACCAATATCAGTAGCTAAATCAGATCCTTTGATCTGTATTTGTCTGAATTAATACCCGAAAAAATAAAAAAGAGTGTTTTCCAGGTATTTATTCAGTTTGATTTATGCCGAATGCATGCCCCTAGCTGGGATATGGGGGTTGGTTGAGGGTCATTCCTTGGGGCAGCAGCTGTACCTGAATTCTTTCATTACTCCTTGTTCCCTTTTACCCATCCCTAGGGCAGGTTGAATATAG